CCCCTCCAATCAATTAGAAGCGAGCGATAAGGCGCGCGCGTTCTCGCATTTGACGCTCGACGAAAGTCGAAAGAGCCGATTCCGACTCGAGAGGATTCGTGAAATAATTATATCGATTTTGCCGGACACGCCGCGTTTAAAGACGAGTTCTTCGAGACGACTGGCGGGTCAGGCCCTCTCATCCATCATCTCTCTACCGAGAGAGCACGAGGGATGTGCCTCGGGATTCGTCTGCCATCGTGCTCCGAGAAACACGTCGCGCAGCGGTTGCCAAGTCGCGCATAGATCGGCGTGTCTTTAATAGTCGCCTCACGTATCGTCGAGGTGGTAATACTCGGCAATGAGACGCCAACGTAACTGTCAAGCCACCATCGATGGATTCGCGAGACACGCGACGCGTTTCGCGATATCGTAGATATCCTTCTCGCGCGGGGAGGTACGCGCGTCATTCCCGTTGAGGAGCGCCACTGTCGGAGCAAAGCGATCATTAGACTCGCGTCTTCGATATTTAGTTTCATTTTTCTAATGAAAGATGGATCGAGAGATAGAATCTCCGTCCGAGCTTTGTATCGCTATCCTTCCCACCTTGTTCCGGCGCTCCGATTCACCGGAGCGTCCAATAATCGTTTTGATTCCTAATCGACTCGACCATTGTCGCGCCGGCATGTTAATTGGCCGGTCCAATTATGGGGCCCGAGAGCCGTCCACGTGAAGTCGCGCATCCGTACCTCGCTCCGGATCGATTCCGCCTCACGAATGCGTTTCTTCGGCGGAGAGCGTGAGGAGACGGAGGGAGAGGGGGGGGGGAGGGCGAAGGGAAAAGGAAGAGAACGAACGACACGGACGATGTGAGCCGCGCTCGATCATCTCATGTTGTCTTAATTAATTTCGTTCCTCTCGGGACCGCGATTTAATGGGCGCGGGGCCAAATCGGCATGATTTAAAGACGAATCGGGACACGCACTCACCGCGGGGCCCGACGGGCCGGAATTCACAGAAATCATAAGATTATCCGGCGGACGCGGCCCCGCGGTCTTCGTGCCAGCGGGGAAAACGCCGGGGACCGCGCGCTCGCAGAAATTAGGGGGTCCCGCGTATACCCCCGAATTAGCGTGGGGCCCTTCAATTCCGCGAAGGGGACGCGAGTTAGACGTATAAATCCCGTAGGCCTCGCTCTCGCGTACGAGAAAGAAAGAGGAAGAGAGAGAGAGAGAGAGAGAAAGAGAAAGAGCGGGGGAATCCAAATCCGTGTCTCGCAGCGTGTCGTACGCATCAGGTACATCCTATCCAACCGCGCGCCGCTCGCGATGATCCAAGTAGGACCCCATCGAATGCCCGTGGGAGTGTACACGCTCGTGGAATGCAGTTCTGATTTAATGAGACGCGCCACTATCTCTCGCGCTCTCGTTCTCGGAATCGGATCCACCGCGATTCGTCGATTTCGCATCTGGCCGCCGATCGAATCCACCTCGAGCGTTCTTGATCATCACGCTTCTTCTCGCTTCCATTCGGACGCGACTCGCCCGTTTCTTCCACTCTTCTCTCTCTCTCTCTCTCTCTCTCTCTCTCTCTCTCTCTCTTTCTTTCTTTCTTTCTTTCTTCTCTCAAGTCTCAAGCAGGTCGTCTCTGTTGTAATTGCACACGTCGGGTAATCTTCCGGCTGCGCTCGCTCTTCGCTTTTCTCGTCGCCCTGAGAGGATCCATCTCGCCACGAGATTCGAGAGGAGCGAAGGGCGAGAGCTCACGCCTTCGCGGCGGAGAGATTCCAAGGTGACTCGCTTCCTCTCTCCTGATAATTGTAATGGGCCGCGGTGTGGAAGATACTGGCGGCGCGGTCGGCAGGAGAGCGCCGAGAACGGACAGGAGAGAGGGAAAGAGAGAAAAAAGGATCGCGACGGTTCAGCAGGACGAGAACTCGAAAGAAAGGGATAGGTGCGACGCGCCGCGGTGCTTCCCTATCAAAAGGTGCCGGCGAATCGAAGGGACGCGCGCGCGCGCGCGCTGAGCATTAAATCGACCAACGGCAATAAGTAACCGATTGCCGTGGCGCGTTGTAGGTGCGCGCAGATAATTAAAAGACGATACAATAAACCACATATCATTGGCCATAAAGCAGAGCCGGGGCTAAAGCCACGGTGTGGGCCGTACCGCGAGCGGTCACTTAAGCCGGGGGAACCCACGCAGACATCTTGTCGCACCGCGCCACTCTACGGGCTCGTCGGCAATAACCATAAGACATCCTTTATTCCAGCGATTCTCCAGCCAGTGGAGGTGCGGAGAACGACCACGTGCGCGCGCGATGCAGCGCCGGCGGAGACGTGTCAATGCGTTTCGAGCGGAGCAAGCGTTCTCCCGAGCGATCAAGCCGGGTGGTCCGACCTGACCTACTCTCCCGGCTGATCGGGGAGACGAATAGCCGCGATATCGACGATATGCGATATTTACATCGACACGGTGCGATATTGGCTTTGCGGCAATTTTTTGGGATGCTTGGGGGCAGTATTCATAGGCCGATCTTGTATTTGAGATCGTCTTGAGTTCACCTTCACACGGATTCTCTCGCGGGCTGCGAAGTATATAGCCCCGAGTTGAAATTTTGACTCTATGTTAAACCTTGATTTCTACCTACGCAGTAGGTGCTAAGTTAGCAATGCAGGTTTCATTCTAGTGAATTTACTCTTATTTTGACTCTGATGATGTCCGAAATTTCCCTTTTCACTTTCTTTAGCATTAAAATAAAAAGTGACCTTACCGTTCTCGAGATAAATGATTCAAAAGAGTCCCAATTTCAACAGATGGCGACAGAAAAGATTAGTTTGAGCTTACTTTGACCTGGCAGTGCCCTCACGTTCACGTTCAAAATGAGGGCCATCTTTTAAGATTTTTGATGTCCACAAAGGACAGACAATGTCAGCTTGGTACTTGTCTTTATTTAGATGATGTCATCTGTTGAAATCGGGCCACTTTTCTCGAGTCGGAGAGTTATATATTTGGAATTGATCTGACGTGAGCTCTAATCGTACGTAAGAAAAATTACCACTAAGGTAAACGTCCTAGTGATTGAACGTGTACCGATAATTGAATTACTAATAATATACTTGTGTTTGTTAAGATGCTTATCAATAAATGAAATAAAATCACAAAGTAACTAAATATTTCTTTTCATTTGTTATATTGTTTTGTATATTGAAAAGCATATCAACAAAGAGAAATACAAAACCAATATGTCAATCATTGGGACATGTTTGTTCGACCACTGGGCGACGTTTACCTTATCGAGGGCTCTAAAATCAGACGAAATGTCGATAGGCTCCTGACTCCGTATTCTTTCGAGAGAATCACGACTCCCCGCATTTATATGAATAATCGCTCGAGTTTGAGTCGCGTTGCTAACGTTACGCACGTGCGCCATCGTCGTCGTCGTTCCCTGGTTGTTCCTCGGTTGTTTCACAGCGAGATGCTAAATAGTCAGGCTCGAGAGGCCGACTAATCGCCGGCGTGCTCTCATGTAACGCTCCATTCCGCGAATTTAACTCTGCCGCGTTGACGTTAAATCAAAAAGTGGCGAAGGGTAACAAGTAGTCGTCGCGAGATTACGACTTCGGGACACGCACGCGATATACAAGTCTCCTACGTCGTGTTCGCTGGGCCCTCCTCGTCGGACGTTGTTCGACGATCGCGCGGCGAATTTATCATTGACGTTTTGCTCTCCGACGCGGCCTGGTGTACGCCGCTAAGGAATCTCACGCGAAATGAGCCGCGTGTGCTTATGGAATAGACGACGCTTATTTATCGCCGGCCGGCCGGCTAATCGAGGGAGACTGCTCCTCCGGAGGAACGTGGACTGACCGAGGAAGTAAGAAGTCGGAAATTCTACTTTCAGATTTGTCGGACGTGCCGGAGAACTTGCCGTTGCCAGCGCCGGGCTCGGAAAGTCCCCAGGCCCTCAACTACTCGCAGATAGCCTCAGCTGCGGTCGCCGTGTCTCAGGGCGCCCAGGACCCCTCGGTCTCGAGTACGGAGACCCTGCTGAGGAATATCCAGGGCCTGCTCAAGGTCGCGGCCGACAACGCGAGGCAGCAGGAGAGGCAAATCAACTACGAGAAAGGTCAGTGGCGGGGCTTTCTTAAGACACTTGAGGGCGCTCTCCACAATTTCATTATCTTCCAGCTCTCCCAGAACCGCATTAAGAGGCATTAGTCCCTGTCCCGTCGACGAGACCCACTACTCCTCCCCGAGCTCTCTCCCTTTCTGCCCCCGTGTCCCTCGTCTTGTAGCCGTCTCCCTCGGTCCCTCCTCTCCCTCTCCTGTCCCTCCCCTCGGCTCCTTATCTTGCTTTCTATTGCGGCCTCATCCACCGTGCGTCTTCTCCTTTTCGCGCTTCGACGGCCTTGTCTTGCTCGTGTCGCGTTGACGCTACGTGGATGCGCGAAATGGAAACGGTAACGTCCCCGGTGAGATTCCGGTGAGAGTTGGACATCCGAAAGACTCATAGAATTAAGAAACGTGAAACTAAACATGTTGAAGGCTCCTTGTGTAATGTTTGTAATTTGTGTGTTCTTCGTTCAAATATATTTTTTCTCTCTCTCATCTGTGTATAGTTAAATAGCGTACTCGACTAGAAATTGATCTTGTAGACTTGATTGATTCCTATTTGTTTGATTAGTATAACGTAACGTCTGTAATGTTTCGGATTCTGATAAGCCATACAACACAGCATGGCGATCAGGACCTTATCAATAATAAAGATTATTAATGATTAGGACTTTCCTAATAATTAAGATTCGATAACGTCGTTTTATACAAACTAGATAACTGATCAACCTGATGAAGGCGATGAGGTAGATTTCTGGTCAGGTATATTGTACACTGAGAGAAAAATATATGATATTTGGAACTATAATGGCATAGTAAAAAGATTATAGTTAGGAATTTAATTTTTATAGTAAATGTTACCATAATATTTGTAATATTTACAATATTAGCATAGTATAACTGACCCGTGTAAAATTTTTACCAAGAATTATAATTATTTGAAATAAAAAATATAGTAAGGTAGCAAATATTGAATGGTAAGAGAAATTAACTATTTTATATAGTCAATACAATTGGAATATTTGGCAAATATAGGTACATGTAACTATATTCCCAAAAGGTGCTTTACCATATATATAGAGTAATAAGATGGTGACTATAAATCTGTGTTTATTCTACTATATTTTCATGTTTAGATGAATTATAAATATATGTTTGAAGCCAAAACGAACTATAAAATATAGTGAGATTATAGTTATTCCAACTATTTTTTTCTCTCAGTGTAACGTTAACCCGAGTTGCACTTGTCGGCGGGGAACTTTTATATTGACACATCGGACGTGAGAGACGGCTCCCGCGTCCGTTGGACGTGTTATATTTTGCGAAATATTCACACGAGCGAATTTCGCTGCGTGAGAGTAGCAGGCGTGATCGCCCCCGGGCGAATCCACCGTTCGCGAAAACGTCGTCCTCGGCGCGCCGTCGAGGCCGGGACGTCGCGCGAGCGTGTGCGCGAGTCCGAGAATAAATTTAAATGTCGTTGCCGCGTAACCGGTGGATAGAGTTTGCGCCGTAGATTGGTCACGATGAATGCAGGCAGGGTCCATTAAGAAACGAGTCGGCGCGCCGCGAGATGACGTGCAGCTTACGGCTTCTTTCTCATTAAGCCGCGTGATAAATCGGCCGGCGTTATTATTAAATATCTCCGCTCGCGGGAATACGTAAAAAGGAAAGAACAAGAGAGATATATATATATATATATATATATATATATATATATATATATATATATATATTGCGAGGGACAGAGAGAGAAAGGAAGGCAACGAGTGCGGAAAGCGCGGGAGCCGTCTCTCACGCGTCGAGATTGCTCGAGAACTTGGATGGGATTAACTGCGATAAGGCAGACATCTCGATGCAAATCGTCGAGCCGTTTATACGATATCGATCAGAGTATCTCCGGTTTTATTACGACAACCACTACGACGACGACCATTACTATTACTATGACGACGACGGCGATGACGACGACGAAAAAAGAAGTCACTTTATGATGAAAACGACGATAACGCATAAACGGCCGTCCATGTATACTTACATGTCATTACGCACAAACGAGTCGCTATTGTAGTCGTTAATTGTTAGTGCCACCAATACACGGTGGTCGCATCATCGAGACCGCTATATCGTATAAATGTGACTGTGAGGGACGACGTGCATCGCGTCGTAATCGCCGATTCACCGTGCGTCCCGCAAACCACGCGCGATTACGGAGAGAGGAACATTATCACGAATAAAAAGCGGCCACGTAAAACGACGCGCAACGCCAAGCTGGTTTCATAGTCGAGCGATCGCCAGTTCCACGGCGAGAATATTGGCGAGAACGCGGGCGAGAGCTGGAAAACACGGTCGCGAGCGAGTCGACGGTGTGTTTTCTCGCGCGTGATCCAGTTCCCGGGGGCAATTTTCCAATTTCGCCCGCGAACTCTCATTGATCGGCTATATCCGCTTCTGTGTTTTCAACAACACACGCACGCACACACACCACCACTCATCATTACGGAGTCTCGCGTATCGCGGCTATTCAGCGGCGATCTATATCCGTGGGGGACGAAGAATGGAAAGGAACATGAAGAGTTATACGATACTCTGAATCTCTCGGAGTGAAATTTCACTTGAAAAGTAGAGTGACCACAGGAATTCCAGTAACTTTTCACCCGTATAAAGCGAATTCTCCATTCCGAATTGTCAAGTGAATATTTTCACTCGAAACTGAAGAGTGAGTTGCTCCGTCATTGTCACAGGAACGCTTTATCGATTGAAATACACGCTCATATGGAGTTAGAATCTACTGTGAAACTTGATTGTCACGTAAAATTTTTCTCATGTGAGACACTCGGATTTTTACTCAAAGTTAGATCCAAATTTTTCAGTTAAATGTGTTATATCTGTAATCGCAATTCAAAAAACTTTCATCTAACTCAAATCTGAGTATCTCACTTGGGAGGAGTTTCAAGTAATGACTATTAATACGGGTCTTAAAGTTTTATTCGGAGTTAGATTCAAATTTCTTTAATCTTGATGCGTATAACATTTATATTTATAATCACGATTCAACTGAAAAACTCTCATCCGATTCTGAATCAAAATGTGAGTATCTCATTGGGACGAGTTGCGAGCAGCGTCGGGCATTAATCGATATATCGAAATTTTCTTTGACTAAAATAATCGGCAAACCACTAATCAATAATCAAAATTAATCAATCTTCGTGTATAAAATCACAAATAATTCCATCGATTGATAAAATTAATTATTAATCAAACTTTAATGTGATTGACTATACATTGATTAATAATTAATTGCATTAATCGATTGAATTATTTGTGATTACGCGTATATGACCGATTGATTAATTGTAGTTATCGATTTGTCCATTATTTTCGTCCAAGATTTTAATTGTAATACCCAACATTGGTTCCAAGTGATAACTATTAATGCGGACTTAAGTGAGCGAAACATTCCCTGCGATTGTCTACTCGATTCGAGTAAGATTCCATTTCAAGAAATTCAAAGAATACAACAGTGAACAGTGAAACCCGTACTTTACGTCTTCGTGAACGTACTTTCCTTTGTCATAAAAACCGTTGTCGACAATATCTCGTATTATCGCAAATATGAAGTCAAGCCGGCACATTCAGCGGCTGTGTTTAGTGCATTGATTGCGAACGCAAATCCTAACGAAAAGGAGCTGGGAAAGAAAGAAAGAAACAAAGAGAGAGAGACTGGACTGGAAGATGGCTCTTCGACGAAACAGGCACAGAGGTTCTCGACGTGCGAGCGTTCTCGCGAAGTCCCTTATCTACGTTTTCGCAGGTTTTAAGTGGCGGATCCCCATAAACGCACGTCCGATATCCGTCCGAGTCGCGGCGACTCGAGTCGAGTCGAGTGCCGGGCCGGAGTCGCGCGTCCCAGCGGCGCGTTTAATAAATTCCGAACGAAACGTAACCCCAGGACTTTAATTACCCATTAGCCGATACAAAGTGTCATTTTCAGGGCCGTTAACTAATGCGTTTGTGCGGGCCTTAACGTTAGGAATGCCGGGCATCGCGCTCGACGTCGGCGGCGGCGGTGGCGGCGGCGCTTAAGCAGCCTCCTTCTCGTTGCATGCGTTCGCCGACGCAGAAGGCGGGTAGATTCTCGAGGGGCGACCCGATAAAAGGAAATCGACGATGCTCCCATGGCCGATGCCCCTCGAACGTCGCCGCGCTCCCTCACCTCCGTCCGGTCTCTCGCCACCCTCGCGACACCGTGACTTAACGAACAGACTCCGACCGTGCCCTCCTCGCTGCGAGGTGCACGATCCACTTGCATAATTCGTGCTTTCCTCTTCTGCCGCTCTCGACAAAGTTCCGTGCCGCTAACGACATCGCCGACATGGGCTCCCGTTAAAGCCGTACGTGAAATGTGCGGGACGAGTTCCTCGCCGGTAACGATTTCGAAGGGAGAAACTCCCGCTGGAGATTCTCGAGCACGAGTGTCGTCGCTTTCGACCGACGACGTGCTTCCGGCTCGTGGTCTGATTTGATTTGATTGTCTGTGTAAAGGGAATTTCCCTTCAATCGATTATTACTTCTTTTAATCCTTAAACGACAAGATGAAAGTACAAGATAACAAAGTGGTGTGTGCGACTCCGACATTTTTGGAGTTTATTTCTTCTGTTCTACGTGCTAAAATTGGGACAAATAAACGGTGATCTAACGACAAATTTTTTTTATTGTACAAAAAATATTTTTTTTAGCATATCTGACGTCATCACCGTTGATTCCACATTGTCGTTTAAGGAAATGCTGGAGTCGAGATCTTTGTTGACAAAATACTGACTTTTTTGCAAAGTTACGTTGTATTGGCCGTACAGAATTACAAGTGCTCTTACGCAATAAAAATAGGTGCGAAAATTAATTGAAGCATTGCTTAATATGTGACACAAACGATAAAAAATTCCAAAGTTGACATTTCTAGTGAAAATTTATCTGTCAGATGTTATCTGTAAATTGAAATAAATATTTGCCTAA